AACATGTGATGTCAATATGAGGTCCATCTCTATTGTAAATTGGCTTAATTGTGGTGGCGATGTTTGGACAAATGCCTCCATCATTCCAGAGGGTCATGAGGATAGTGTTTGGTATTTCAAGATAGTATTATACAAACTGAATTTAACTGGCAGTATAATCATGAGTGCTAGAGCAATACCTCAAGAACAGTGGTGAGCAATCTGTGGGCCTCACATGGCTCGTCAGGGCAAGCTGCTGGCCGGCCACCAGACAGATGTTTACTTTCTGTCTGCAGATAATGCCACCCATTGTCCCATTGACTGCAGTGCACAGTTCCTGGTCAATGGGAGCTCCGGGAAGTGGCAGCCAGCAAGTCACTGTGGCCTAAGCTGCTTCCTTCAGTTCCCTTTGTCCAGGAACAGTGAATTGCAGCCAATGGGAGCTATGGGCAGCCATATCTGCAGATACAGGTAAACAACCTGTCTGGCAGCCCATCAGCAGTTTACCTGATGAGATGTGTGTGGTCTATGGGCCACAGGTTGCCCACCACTGACCTGGAGTATGTATATGTATTTAGGTGCTTCACCCCTTCCCTCTCAAGCCACCTAGGACTGAGTTGCAAGGTGACAAAAGATGCTAATGGGGGAGCAGCAGAGAAAGCAGGTTATACTGTGGAGACAGGCCCAGTGTTCTGTCCTTGGGCGGGCTGAATTTTCTTTTGGACGGGTTGAAATTTCTTATGTGCACCACCAATATTGAAGTGGTGTGTGGATGTGCACCCACCAGTGCAAACAAAAACCGTAGAAATAAATATATATTTAAATCATTCATAGGAGTGCAAGAAAATAGATTAAAACAAGGGTTAATTAACAAGGAGCAATGTTTATGATTTTCTTTTTATTTGATTTCATATTAAATAAACACTATCGTGGGCTGAAGAAGTGGGTTGTGCCCATGAAAACTCATGATACTAATTATATATTTTTGTTATCGTAAGGTGCTACAGGACTGTTTGGTTTTTAGGCTTTTTTAGTTACCGACTAACTCCTCTGAGACCCTGGAGTACCAAGTACTTGCTACTTCTGACTCATAAAAGCCAGAACTCTACCACATTGCAAAGATCTGGCCTTAATTCAATACTATTTACCACGTATTAATTAGTAACACAGGATTTTAAAAAATCATTGAGATCCGAGTTTTAGATATCTGTAACACTCAAAAAAATCCTGTTAAAAGAATCTTTTTCTTTTTTACCTTAAGTCATTAGCACAGAGGTGGGCAGTAATTTTTTGATGGGGAGCCACTCCTAGAATTTGGTAAGTGGTCCAGGGCTGCAATCTTTCATTATATTAATGGAGGAGGTGTGGGGGTCTGGGATGGAGGTTAGGTGCAGAAGGGAGCTTGGGGTAAGGGATTGGGGTATGGGATCCGGGAGAGAGTTTGGGTGAAGTAGGGGGTCGTGACCTGGGGCAATGGACTGGGGTGAGGAGGGGTGCGGGGTCTGGGAGAAGGTTGTGATTTGGGGCAGGAGTGCAGGTGGGGGTGCAGGGATTTGGACTGTAACCAGGGATAGTAGACTGGTGTGCAAGGTTTGAGAGGGGGTTGTGACCTGAGGAGGGGCGTTAGGGGGGATGCAGTGTCTAGGAAGGCATATGAGGGTTGGAGCAGGGGTGCAGAAGGTTTGGGTTACTTGGGGTAAGAAGGCAGAATGGGGACAGAGGCTTGGAGGAGGAAAGGAGATGCTGGGGTCCCAGAGAGAGGCGCTGGCTGGGTGTCCTTATCTGGCTCCAAGCCAGCAGCCCAGCAGGTTCCTTAGCCAGCGTCCCTGCCTTCCAGCCCCTGGACGTATTCAGGGGAGTTACAGGAGCCACGTTTACTGTTCTAAACTGAATGCTGTGAGCCTGGGGGATGAAGGAGGAGGGGCATTTCGCATGCTGTCTGTCCTGCAAACAGGCAACTGCTATTGGCCAAATGAGAGCTACTGGGGGTGGGATTGGCATGAGAAGCCTGTCTCCGCTCTCTCCAGGCACTCCAGGCTCATGCCCTGCACCTGGTTTTCCGGAGTGCTCGCGTAGCTGCAAGCCGGCTGAGGCTCTTACTGCCCAATGATCATCTTTTGCCTTGCTCTGTCGTAGAGGCTGGAGCCAGCTTCTCCAGTGCTGCTGCTGCTGCTGCTCTGAGGTTAAATAGCCTCTGCCTTGAAATGTCTCCCCTTATTCCTATGTTCATGTCCTCCCCAGGCTTCTCTAAAGGTTTCAGTCACTCGCAGTCCATTCTCCTGCCAAAGACTTACTTTGACACTTGCAATTATTGCATGCCCCTCTCAGAAATAGTGATAGGGATGGTGGATAAAGAACATCTCTGGATTTCGCCTCTCCTGCTTTCATACGTTGGCACAGAGCAATGGGTGGCTATGGCATGAACATCTTACAATAGGGCACTTTGCTGGCTGGCTCCTGCAGTGTTCATTAGGTACATCATCAGACTCACATCCATCTAACTGCACAGGGATGCTTAATCCTTTCATGAAGGGTAGCTGCTGTTAACTAACGTAAGGTCTATTGCTTTTGCAGTGCTTCCTTTGCATCTTTGGCATGTGTAGCAAGGAGACAGCAGCTGTTGCCTTGTGGAGTTAGTCACCTGGTCTAATGTACCTGGTGAGGGGGTTTATTGGCAGGGTCTGCCTCCTGAGAGAGACTTAAAAAAGTCTATGAGTAGCTGGTAGCATTGTCAGGTACATAAATTGTGCTGTATTCCTTTTGGTTCAGGTCTCCTCTTCCCCAATTTGAGATGGCAACATGCTCTCCCTATTTTAAACATACAGATTTTGTGCTGTTTCCATCAGGACGTGCAATCAGAATGGGCTGAGTGTGAGGCAAAGCAGCATCTGTTCATCTGCATCTTGTGCATCCATTATATGGTAAAACTTAGGCTTGCTAACTTTTTGACTTTCTTCGAGCCTGAAAAACCGGTGCCATCTATAGC